GCTTCTCGACTTTCCCTTGGCCGTTCAACTTGGTCACGACTATTTCATACGTGTTGACAAAGGCGGTTGGCAACACCTGTGTGCTCGACCAGATCTCCTCAGTGAGATGGGATGCTTGCAACATGTGTGAACTCTTGACCGTATAAAAAGCCAACTGAAACCAATATGTGACACATGCTGTAACCTGGGCACTGCAAGCGGGCTGGTGTCGCGGTTGATGAAAGTCAAGCCCTCCGGAAGCGACTCCAAGGAATGGACCTCCACCTCGATCTCGGTTCGACTGCTCTTCGAAGCCAGCCAGCTCAGAAGGGCGCAGCCGCTGCCGCTGGGGAAAAGGAGCTTGGACGAATCGGACACGCCACTGGCCTCAACAACGGCTGAACGTGTGACCGCAAAGAATGTGCAACTGCAACGAGTCAGAGCGCTCTTCAGCTTCCTGCCTTGCCCAGCATGTTCTTCAAAAGAACCGACTCGACTGCCTTCTGCAACTCCGGGTCCTTCGCATTGAAGAATTGCCACATCATCGACTGCGGCGACTGCGGCCTATCCGGCTTCTCCGTCTGCATAAGCTTCGTCCCGACGCAGCACGACCAGCACGAGATCTCCAGGTGCGGGTCATTCAACATCAGACTCTTGATGTCAAAGCCGTCCTTCTGCATGACAATCTTGCCCTCTTGAAAAGCTTCCTGCGGGCGAAGAACCTTGACTTGGATCATCATCAGAACCTCACAGCTGACACGCGCAACTCATTCCCACAATGTTTAAGGCCACCCCGCGCCTTGGTTGCCAAAAGATTTGCACCCCCGGCATGCGATCGGCGGAACAGCATCGACTTGACACCGCTCGACGTGAGCGAAAACCCAAGGCTCTTCGAGCCGACTCGGAAAGCTTGATAGACGGCCTGCACAACAAAGGTGTTCATGGCACAAGAACCTAAGGACTACCTCTTAATTAAGGAGTAAACCTGAAACTAGAAAACTCTGTGCGCTGCACGCAAACCTGAAGCTCCGAGTTGAAGCATTCTTTCCTTCCGGCACGCTCGGAGCGGGCCAAATCCCTCTTCATCTCCTCGAAACCACCAACTGGCATCGCGAAATAGCCCAACATGGCGACTAGTGTGCGACGCGATGACCGACTAGATTGCAGGACGTTCGAGCTTGAGGAGCGACTGCGATTCGACTTCGGGCACGAGGTCATGCCCTGCCACAGCAGCCATACATGGCGTCCACTTCTGCTCCACAGACAGATGCGCGAACAATGGCCATTTTAGCGGTCTTCGACTAGGCGGCTGAGAGGCCTTTGCAGAAGTTTCGCAGCTCCCCTACGTATATAAATAGGCATGGCCGAAGCTTTGCCCCAGCTGGCGACCGGTAACTTGAGGGAAGACGACTCTGCACTTCAATCGAATTTTATTGGACGACTGCTGTGCGCTCTCTGCAAAAACTTCGCGACTCCCCTACGGACTGCATGGCCGAAGATGTGCACCAGAGGGCGCCTGGCAACTTGACCTCTGTTTCGCCACTCCCCTACATTGCGCATGGCCGAATCGAAGCTTTGCCCCAGCTTGCGACCGGCAACTGTAGGGAAGACTCTGCAATTTAGTCGACTTGCAACTTGAGGGAAGACCCTGCATTTTGTCTCGACTAGAACTAGACAACTGCGCGGCCTGTGCTTTCAGCTTCGCAGCTCCCCTACATGGCGCAATTTCCCCAGCTGGCGACCGGCAACCGAAGGGAAGACTCTGCAATTTGGTCGACTTCGACTACAGTGCTGTGCGGCCTCTGCCGAAGCTCAGCGACTCCCCCACATTGCCCCAGATACCGACTGGACTCCGGTTGTCTTATAAGCCGGTGAGCAACTACCGCTGCACTGTGATGTAGCCCAGCTACCTGCTGTTTACACAACCGGAGCCCTAGGCTGACGCGCCAGAATCATCCTCGCCGTGTTGAGATCTTGCTTCTTGATCTCCACCTTTCCTCTGCCATCAGCGGCAGCCTGATATGCACCAAGCTGGCTCACCACACAGTCCTCTGTCAGGAACCATCTATCTAGGGCTTGGTGTGGAGAATTTAGAGTCTTGGCATTGTCGGTCCTCCACGCCACATTGCAGAGCCTTCAACGCCTCCTTGCTGAAGACGAGCTCTCCGGCCTCCAGCTCATCCAAGCACGCGTTCGCGATGTTCTCGAAGTGCAGTGCTGGAATGCAGCACGACGTGCTTCTTTGCGCCTTTGCGATTGCGCTCTCCACCTGACGGGGAACGGCTCTTTTGCGAGAGTGGGAAGACAAGAAGCAAGCAAGAAGCCCAGGCCGATCCTGCCGCTTGAACTTCTGCCCTTTCTTCGGGCCGGCCCGACTCTTGGCCTTAAGGAAAGAGACGTCGGCAACCAACATCATCGAAAGCTTCAACATAAGTACATGCTGCAATCGTCATCACAAGACTCTGCAGTTAAGGCACGACTTCTGGCCCCTTGCCACCAGGTTGGACCGACTGCTTTCCACGCAAGCGACGAGCCTTAAGGAAAGTCGTCCCTGCAAAACGTCGGCAACCAACATCATCGAAAGCTTCAACATAAGTACATGCTGCAATCGTCATCACAAGACTCTGCAGTTAAGGCACGACTTCTGGCACCTTGCCACCACGTTGGACCGACTCCTTTCCATGCAAGCGACGAGGGGCTTTAAGGAAAGTCGTCCCTGCAAAACGTCGGCAACCAACATCATCGAATGCTTCAACATAAGTACATGCTGCAATCATCATCACAAGACTCTGGAGTTAAGGCACGACTTCTGGCCCCTTGCCACCAGGTTGGACCGACTCCTTTCCATGCAAGCGACGAGGGGCTTTAAGGAAAGTCGTCCCTGCAAAACGTCGGCAACCAACATCATCGAATGCTTCAACATAAGTACATGCTGCAATCGTCATCACAAGACTCTGCAGTTAAGGCACGACTTCTGGCCCCTTGCCACCAGGTTGGACGGTCTCGTCGGCTCGACGGTTCATGTATTGTCGAAGGGCTGAGTACCTCAGTGATGCAATGATGTGAAGTGTGGAATGAAGTCCGGTCTCAGTCAAGCCGCCCAGGGCTTTGTGTCACAAAGTCTTCCTCCACGTCGGGATGTTTGAGAAACGTTCCCTTGTCGACTGAAGGCAGCTCGAAGAAGTCAAGATCGTGCTTGGCCTGAAATTTTCCGCTGCTCAGACGACGAGCAGTATCTAATCTACTGTACTGCAAGTCCTTGGCAAATCCAACATAAAACAGAGAACGAGGTTCCGAGCCTTTTGCTGCATGTAGCGGATCTCTGCCTTGAGCTCCTCAAGAGTAATGTTCCAGTACGCCGACTGGTTTGCCCAGACTCTCTTGTAAAAATCGGCGCAGGCGGCCCCACTTTCGTCGGAGCAAACCACATGTGGAGCCCTCACCTCTGTTCGATGCGTGTCGTTTCCAGCTACAGCTCAAACCGAAACAATGTGTGAAGACACTTGCTTGCCCACTCTCTATGCAGCCAGGCATCGCCCCTTGAAGCCAATCGCAAAGTCTTGAGACAATGCGGCATGCCATAGGCGAGCGAGCGAACCATGCTTTCGGATCGTCGGACAGAACGCCGACAGAAGCCGAGTGGCGGACGACTGAAGCCGACTGAAGGCGACTGGTGGACGACTGAAAATACGACTGTAAGCAACAAATCAGCGGATCACATGACCAGATTCAGAACGGCACCGTGCTGCAAAGACTGTCCATGAAACATGTATCACACGTCCCGCAGGTGCTGCTCCCAAGGGCACCCTAGGCACAGACTGATGCACGGAAAAAGCCTCCGCAAAGCGAACGCACCGGCCGTCAGCTGCTAGCCTCAAAATTGCAAAACCAGAGCAGGAAAGTTTAAAGTACAGGCTGTGTTGAATCAGCTCTTTCACTCAGACTTAGGAGCCCTTGCTTTTGCCTAGATCAATTCTTCCAGAAAAGAAGTTCGTGTTTTATGAACTCACGACGACTCCTTGCTTCCGAAGCCTGAGTGTTGCTGGCGTGGACTGGCTCGACACTGATTAATACAATCCTATATATATATTATACCAACAGAAGTGTAGGCTGCGTTGAAATACCTCTCGGACTTACAACGAACAAGAACTGTAAGCTGTATTGACCAAGCCCCAGCCAAAGCCCTTGCTAGGTCATGGATGTATAAGCCAGATTGATGATTCTTCCGGGAAGAAATCATTTCTGCTGATGGAATGACCAGGATAAATGCTTCCGTACTGGTGCTGTCCTGGATTGACTTCCCACACAAACAGAAGTGAAAAATCTACCAAACTTGCAGCCCTCAGTCTACTTCATGGATTTGTAAGCCAGATTGATAATTCTTCCCGACAAAAATCAGTTCTGCTTATGTGTTAAAGAACGGGCTTCACTAAGCTTCCTACTCTCAAACTGAAGCGGTCACTTTTCCTTGTGGGTCACTGTGTCCGCTGGTCTCGAGCCTTGCACGTCGCGTGTGCGTGACGGCTGTTCCTGTACATTAACTGCACTGCACTAACTGTGTTACTGTTCCTGGCAAGATGTTTAACACCCCGCCTTCGGAGTTAGCGAAAGTTCCTCGACTGAGGTGACTCCGACTTTTCCTGTCAACAGTAAACACACTGCAGTTCCTTTTCACTTGCAAAACAAACACTCTGCCTCATCGCAAACATATGTTCCTATGTTCACTCGCAATCCTCTCCAAGGTTGCTCGACTGTACAAAAGACGTTCCTTTACTATACTTAGATCACCACAGAAACAAAAAGGGCTGTGCCACGGTTCCTGTGTCCTGCTGCTTCTTTCCTCGGCTCTCTGGCCTCAGTACTGCTCGCTGTTCCTTTGCTTCACTGGAAGGTCACTTCGCCGTCGTCGACCTTGTAGACTTTTACTCCTTCTTCTTCGTTGCTGACTTCTTTCTGTTCCTTGAGTTCTTGCTCTAGCCACTCTGCACGCTGCCTTGCTTGTGCCATGCACTTCTCTTTTCCTTGCTTGTCTCTTGATCCTGCTTTCCAACCTGTTTCCTTTGATCCGGAATACCAGTACCACTGCGTCTTGACTTCGTTCCACTTCCACTGGTAGTTCCTGTTCTGGAAACCGTAGACTGCAAACCAGTTTCCTTCAAACTCTCCTTTTCCTTTGCCCTTCATGAACGATTCTTCGTTCACTGGTCCTTTGGCGGAAAGTTCTGGGTCGTCCTTTCCTCCTTTCCTTTGCTGCTGCTGTGTGACACTCGGTGGCTCCTTTCCTGTTCCTTTTCCTTCTGGCTTCTCCTCTTCTTTTGCTGGTGTTGCTGGTGCTGTGTCTGGTTCCGTGGGTGCCTGCGACCCGGCTGCTGATCCTCTGCTCTCAAGCTCCTGTGTAAGGCTTGCAATTCTTTCTTTATCCTCTTTGCGTTCCTTCATCATCTCCTTCATCATTTCTTCAAGCTTCTGGATCCTGTCTGCTTCTCCTGATCCTGTTGCTGTTGTTGCTGCTGCCTTATTCTCTGCTTCCTTCTTGGCAATGTACGCTGACGATGCCTTTTGATCCTCCTCTCTCTTCTTCCTGGCTTCCTTCTCCTTTCTTTTCTTCTCCTGTTCCTTTCTTTCCTTTTCCTCTTTGGCTGCTGCGGCTGCTGCTTCTGTCTCCTCCTTTTCCTTTGCCTCTCTCTCTGCTTTTGCTTTGGCTGCCGCTTCTACCTCTCGCCTTCTCTCGGCGGCTGCTGCGGCT